TAGATTCTAGAAATCGCAAGCCAATATCGTTAACAGCTTTTTAGAACCAGTTATGCAACAACATATCTGCCAAACTTTCTACCCCCTCTCCCATCCGATTTGATTTTCATCCTTTCGTAATAGGTGAAGGTGCAGATTTCTCTTAAAACAACTTAGCAGTAACAAAACAGAAATAAGATGCAACTTAACAGAATTATGCATAGTCATGCACTTTGCCATGAGCCACCATGATTTAGCTGTTTCTGCCAGTATCGAAAACAACCTAGTATTTTATGTGCCAGACTGTAAACCACTTGGTGACTGAGGACCCATGTTACCACCGGGCTGCCGTGAGACAGACTTGTAGATGATAGTGGAAATGCATCGGCACAACTTAACACAATTTACATTAATATGTTGAGGAAAAGTGAATGGAAGAGACAGACGGACAAAATCAACGTCGAAGCAGGCACACAACTGCATCGGTTTAAGTTGCCACACTTCACAGTAGTAAAGAAAGACAGGTAGATATAATAAGAGTGATATCAAAGTAGACAAAGTTGAGTGAGAGAATAAACAATTTCAAGCTAACGGTTATTGTAAATATTTAAGGCTTAGATGTCAAGGAGTGAATACGTCTGCACCATTGTGACCGATTTTCAGCCATGTCACCAAGAGTTCTCAGACATCTATTCCTTTCGTCTTGGAGACCCCAAGCAGGCAGTCTACATCTCCCCACACAACTCAAACCAACAATAAGAGACTTAACCGACTGGTACCATCTTTTGGTCTGGCCAACTTGTACCCACTTCCAACCTAGTCCAACTTCCTGTATCACAGCACGTCAAGGCAGGCAGTGGATCAGCATGGGCAACAAATGCCCAAACCATCTTAGTCGACTAAGGTTCACAACCTCATCAATCGACTCGCCTGCCTTGCATAGCTCCCTTTGACAAACCTCTCCATTGCCCATACGGTGATTCCACCAAAGGCTGGTAATGCTACGAAGATAACTATAATCTATTCCCAGTAATCGCTACATATTTTCTACTTTCAACGACCATATCTCACAGCCGTACAAAAGGATAGAATGGAAGGCAGCGCAGTATACTCATCCTTTGTTAGATACTCGGATATCTCACAGGCGCAACAAGTGACGCAAGTTGGGTAATGCAAAACAGACCTCTTGTATCCGAGTTAAGATTCCATCAGTAACCAACCCGCTCGAGCTGATGCGACTACCCAAGTTAGTGAAGTGGTCGACATGTTCCATCACTTAACTCTCGATCACTAAACTCAGGGTAGTTGGAAACCAGTCTTGGAGCATCATCTTACATTTGATATTTCAGCATCTTCACCTAGCAAGATAATAACGTCTACATACTCCAAGTCCACCAGAAGACCTTCAAAGAGTAAGTCAATCCCTGTGAGGCCAGAAGTACTTTTTATGTTCATTAATAGGTTCATGACGAATTTAAATAGAAACGGTGACAGTGAACTTCCCCGGAGAACAGCATTAATTGTCAATTCTGATGATAACCCTCCATAAGCCCAGACAAGGCGGCGTTAGTTCGATTATAGAGCTTTGATGAGTATTATATACTTTCTCGGTACTCAGCCACATACTGCCATAACACCTTGTGGCCAAAAGAGTCAAATGCAGCCTTCAGGTCAACAAATATAGCAAGTGTCTGTTGCGCGTAAGTATGCCTTCGTTCCATAACCTGTCGCAGAATAAAAACCTGATCGATGTACCCTCGTCCAGTTCTGCAACCTGCTTGATTTTCTCGAGTTTGCTGTTCTCGAGCTCGTGTTAGGCTTCGGGTAACTATGGAACACCAGGGTCTTTGAAACAATATTAGTTAAACTAATTCCCCTATGGTTTTCACAAGAATGTTTCTCTCTTTTTACAGGTTAGAGTGATCAGTAAAGTAGAGAAGTCTGACAACACTGTCAGTGATTCTCATACACTACCTGGTACCTCTCTGTCACTAACTAGCAATTTCCTACCCCCATCCTTAAAAACTTTAGGTGGCAAACTGTTAAGTCCTGCTGCTTTGCATCGTTTTAGGTTCAATAAAGTTTTCTCAACTTCAAGGAGAGTTTGAGGACCGACATCCACGTCTTATTCAGGTTTACTCCAGATGTTGGGCAAATGAAGCGCTGCTAAGGGTCAGTTGAACTGTGCTTCAAAGTGTTCCGCTTAACGTTCTAGCCACCTACCCTGGGAGGTTATCAGCGTCCCATCCCTTCCGGTGATGGTTTCACTCAACATCAACTTCTTGTTGGTACCCTTAATAAACCTGAATAGTAGGCGGGTGTTACCAAAAGCTGTTGCCTTCTCCATCTCTCTAGCCCACCCACCACTGCTCGCAATCGAAGTAAATATTCTTGGTTGACTTATGTTTAAGTTGCTTTCGCTCTTTATCGTGATCAGATCCAGCTGGAATCAAGTCTTCTGACATCAATCAGTTAGGATGGTGTTGCAGAAATCCAATGACGTTTGCTAATCTTTATTGTGTGTTACCAACCCTCTTTACCGCTGTTTCTATGGCAGACTTAAAAATATCATAACAGGTTTCCTCAGGATGAGCATTGCTGTCACATTCAGACAAATGCTTAGCTAACTCCTTTCTAAATGAGTACTTGGCCTTCTCATCTATCAATCAAGTGCGGTTGGGTATCATGTTTTTATGGCTTTGATTGTTGATAATGGTTGCAGATTGAGAAGTTGCGCGGGACGTAAGAGGCTTAATATTAGTATCAAGAGAAGGAAAAGGAGGATAGTTTATGTTTGATTGAGTCTTGTGTACTACTGGAAGCGTGTGGGCAGTTTACAATTCCCGGCTGCCCACACCGTCGAAGGTTATTTCTTCTTAAGGTACTTGGAAGAGAAAAATATTCATAAAACCGAAAAGCCCATGAGATGTCTGCTTGAGGTCTGTCACATACGGTTTTTTGTGGAATGTTGTTTTGAGATTTAACTATTCGAACGCCAGGTAGATTAAATCCATACTGTCGGCACCGGAAGACCGTAGGGCAAGAAGTGTGCTGTTTTTAAGGTCAACCTTTTCTAACCCCTCCCCTTCCCATTGGGAAGGCAGCATCAGCATGGTACTGTTAGTCATTCAAGGAAAACACCTCACAGCTGTCACACTCCATCTAGCTAGCACCCGTACTACTTCGCCCTCACAACCCCACCCCACCACAGTGTAGTGATTTACACAACGGTAAATGCTTTTCGTTTTACCACTATCCAACACGTTTCCGACCTCCGGGGAACAAGCGTTCCCACCAGCATAGCTCGTTGGGCCATTGTGATATGTAACCCCGACCACCACGTCAAGCTCGCGGCCATCTTCCATACTAGGTTGGTTATTTGATATGGTACACAGTGGAAGTATAATTAACTGGATGACAATTCGAGCAGGATTTAATGCTTATATATATATATATATATATATATATATATATATATATATATATATATATATATATATATATATATATATATATATATATATATTGGAATTCCACTTTACCACAGTGCCCAAGTTTTTCTTTACATTAGTAGTAGCTATCTTTCTATACATCTCAGTATAACAGTCAGAGACCTTGTACACCGGTACCACGTAATGGTTTGGCAACCAGCAGTCTTTTCCTAAGCTAAATTTACGTTGGCTAAGCCCGTGTATCAAGGTAGGCAGGTCTTCGGCATGCGCAACACAGATTCAAACCATCCCAGTCGGTGAACGCTAACAACTTCACCGACAACTGATCTTTTTTGCTTAACTTCAGCATTGGGCATACAAGTTTTACTATACGTGTGTGATGCTACAAACACATTTATAGTCGGAAGCTTACAGGCACCTCTTGTCTACTATCTTCATAGGTCGCTTCAACCGTATAGGGGGACAGCGAAGACCACTATGTAGTACACGTGTACTTAAATAGAAAGTCTAAAATCTTATAGGCATCATCAGTTGTGTAAGTTGGCATACAGCCCTACAGCATTCAAACTAAAATTGTATCGGCGACCAACCCATTAGAGTCGATGGAAATCCTTGATTAAGAGAAGTGATCAACGTAACAATAACTTCGCTGCCTTATCCTTCCTTACACTAGGAGTTGCTGAAGACCAGTCCCACTAACTTTATACTGAAGTTAGTGCTGATGATGTCGTCCAGAAAGACGATGAACGCTTCATGACTAAACAACCCAGCTCAGAGAACACAATCAACTAAGACCATCCACCTGAGCTACAAATATTCTCCATTATCTCAAAATCATACAAGCGTGACACGCTTCACGTTGTTCGAAGATGGGAAGACTTCTCCAAAAGGCAAGCTTCCACAAAAGAACTATTCTTTCTCCATGAGTATCATCCTACATTTGAAGGATGCCGTCTGTAGTCTGCTGTAAAAACAGCTTTGGAGACCGTAGCCGACTGTCGAAAGTGGTTAGAAAGGGATACTGGATCTCAGCAGCTTCTTCCAAATTAATGAATGCAAACAAACTCCTTTTTCTTCGCACCAGTAAATGACAAACTGTCAGCTACAGCATACCATGACACAGTAAAATTCGGCAACATAGGTGGCGTAAACTAGCCATGCTTACTACTTACACAATCAATGACAAGTAAATCAAAATAATTTGGGATAAGTATGTCAGTTGATAACCGAATTTAGAAAATGAAGTTCGGTTTCAAAATGGTTGCACTCAGAAATCTCCTGGAAAATCCCATCGCGAACTGAATCGAAATTCTCTCAGCAAACTTGCACACATTTGTACAGTAGGCAATTAGCCACACCTATTATATGGCTGCCCAAACCTAGATAGGTTGAGCGGCATTCAGACTTGTGGCTCACTGATTAGAAGGCAAACCAATGAGCCATAGGTCCCGCACAATTTTATACACTGGGCGAATGAAACATTCCGTGTAGTATGTTTCAAAAACTGAGGTCGGAAAAATAATCATCGAGTATGTTAAGTGTAAAGAAATAAAAAAATATTTGACTGACCTGATTGTCGATACTTCGTTTTTGACTGAGATTGTCTACTCCTCCTGAGAAAGAAGTAAAGTTGGTTATCTGCAACATTACTTACTTAGTAGAGTTTAAATCATCCATGTCATTCATAGTAGTGCGCGGAACTGCTGAGGTGACAGTTTGAGCAGGTGGTAGTGAGTTAAGATGGGGCGTGTTGTGACCAATCGGTGCTAAAAACATAAATAATAAGCAAAGCACCTACCCTTTCTGACAGCCATACTTAGTGAAGACAAGATGGAATTCAAATTCGCTGCACTTTTCTGCAAGTCTTCACTAAAACGCTGAAATTGGCTCGTTAGCTTCTGATGTTCTTTGATTGCATTCTGAATAAGCTGATACACATTCTGGTCAACTGAACGAGTTTCAGGAGAGGCAGCTTGGTCTGATTCATCATCTGGGACCTTTGCAAAATTTTCATCAAAGATAGCTTGAAGTTGTTTTCCCACTCTCGCAACTTCACTATCTTCACCATTATATTTGTAGCAGTTGTTGAACATTAACCGGACATCATCCGCGAAATCATACTTAGTATGATACTGACCACTTTCTAGTTTTGTTTTAATAGTGCTGAGATCCATTGCTTTTTTGACAACATCATAGTAATCATGAAGTCCAAGAGCCACTACATCCACTGGTTTTAAGAAAAAGTGATTGAGATCCTATAAGTAATAACTCAAAATGTAACAAAACGCATACCCGATATCTCTGAGAAGAAATATCTTTCAGAATATTGCTACAAGCCTTCAGTGCTTCCGAAAGTCGCAAACGCTTTCCAACATTACGTTCTTCATATTCTCGCTTAGGCTTCTTAATTTGACGACGATCTCGTGATAAATCATCGTATGATTGAGGAGTTGAAGGTAATTCATCTATAGTTGATTCGTTTTTCTTTTTACTAGCCTTCTTAGTAGATGTCGAGGTAACTGATGGTCTGAAAGGTAACGTGGTCTGATCTAAAGATACAGCTGAACCATTAAGTCCTTCTGTATGATTAGTTGAAGCAACTGAATGGATTGGTTCAACGGACGGGTGAACTTGCATAGGAACAGTAAGAGGGCGAGTAGATTTTGGGGTTTTTTGTGGAAAAATCTCAGTTTCAGGAGTTGGCATAAACTTAAGACGTTCTCTAGCGATCTGCTCAAGTTTCATCGCCATTGCAACCACATCATCACCCGGTTTGTTGAATATATAACAGTTTCTGAACATGGTAAAAAGATCATCGAGACATTCCGAAGAAGAGTGATAAAATTTCAGATTCAATCGCTGTTTTATTGTGCCAAGGTCCATAGGATGTTTTATTATTTTAGGATAATCCTAGGAATCAGGGCAATCACTAGAACGGACTTACTGGTAGGTTTAGTCGCTGATGATCAACCGGCTTAGTGAACGGCCACACAATTTTCTCCTTGAATAGTCGTCCAACCACCTCCTTCTTAATATACTCCAATTGGTTGGTAGTAATTTTTGACGAATGAGACTTGGCAGCATGAGGTTCTGATTTAATAGAGTTAGAAGAATCTAGGTTTGCTTCAGAGCTCATTGCGTTGACAAGAATCTAAAAAGAAATCCCAGAATTATCATGAGGCTATATCGAAAGGAAAAGGCTTAAATATCAATATTCTGCAAGTAAAGTTACACGTCTCACTTAATGCTCACTGCGCCACCTTCGGACTCCATAACAAAAACTGCTAGTGTGCTAACCATGATAAGGAACAAGTGCATAGGGTAGTGAATATGATATAAGATGCAACGCTGAGAGTAGAGAGAATAACGGGCATTTCACTACATATTACGATGTAATAAACATGTAAAAACGATCACCAACTACTGTAAAATACCGCTCGACAACGCCTGAATAAAACTAGTGCAGATTTACTGCAATAATACTTTACGCAACAGCCAACAAATCAGTTTTAAATTGAGACTGCAATACTGCTAAACCATGCAAGTTGCCAAACTTCTCAACATCATATCAAGATACAAAACAGCAGGGTAAAAAAAGAAATACAGTTGCAAGTAGTAGAGGGACGCGAAATGAGAACAAGAAATAAGAAAGAAAAGGAATTTGATAAGACGACTAGAATGGAGGTAATGTATTGATACATTTACGCCACTTAGATTATTCCTAAGACGTACCACTTACAGTCGCCAGCCACAAATTACTTTCGTTACACGAATCCTAACCGGAAAGCTTAAATTCAGCCACTCCAGTCAGATTTATTAATATTAAGAAACCTTATAGAATGATGCACAGTATGCTCGACTTTTAATAGATAGCTGGATATCATACCGGTGTCAAAGATGGTGTACGTTGGCGAAAGCCGAGAGCCTTTCGTATCCATGCAGAGACTTCGTCGATTAGGGTTAGGGTTAGGTCTGATCTGACTGTCCAAGCGGATGAAGTGATAAACGCGCTCAACCACTTCACTCTTTAATGCCAGATGAGGTACTAATCCAACCATAACCTCAGACAATAATTCCTACTTATATAGTGAGAAAAGCATCCCAAACATTTTAAAATTACCACTCAAATAACTCAGAAGACTGTATTTTGTCAGCGTCTTAATTTAACACGACTGTAAGCTACTTACTCCAGGTCTACAAGTCTTGTGTATGTTTCAATTGCAGTAAAGTTAGGTGAGGAGAGGCTTCTTTAAGCTCTGCGATGAAGCAAAAATGGAGTAAACGTTCAGGACGAACATCACTCGACGCACACATCTCAACTGATACCTCATCACAGGCCTGACACGCTTACAGGTATTCGATAACACAATATTCCCACTAGTGATGGAGCATCACCCCGTTCGTTAGTATACCGTATGGATTCATCGAAAGATTTAAAAAACGTGACGGCGTAACAAAATGTGACAATTAACTTTCAATCCACTATCCTCAACACTACGTATTTAATACTATTGTCCGATTTCACACTTTTAAAGCAAGAGTGACCGGATACTGAATCGTCAAACTTTCTTCATCTAAATCAGTCACATCTTGGCGTAGAGCTAGGCTATTTCTATGAACGCACTGATACTGATTATATCGTGTACATTATGGTGCCATTAGTTTGGCCAATTGGTCATACCTCCAATTTGCAAAGCTGACTTTCGAAATGCACTTTCATATACCCTCAGGTGACCAGTCCCATGACAATTAGAATATCCTGAGTAGCGTTGAGTATCTGTCTCGATGCGAACTTGTAACTATCATGTGAGAACTGAAAACATTCGTTTACTGAAACCAATGTTGAGTTGGACAGGAATATTTTTGAAGACGACAGAATCGTACCCGACATATGCTAGGCAAAGCAGCTTGAAATGCGTTAGACCGTAGACTGACTTTTATCGTGTTACTCGCTATCAGATACCAAGTGCTCACAATGCACTAGATAGTTTCTCAGTCTTTCTTTAAATCATTTCATGAAAGCCGAATCTCAGAATCGAGTTGAAACCAACTTCTATGGAAGAAGCTTCACGGTCGAGCTTTCTGTAGACAGGTTATCCAGTCATTTGCTTAACTCTCGACAATAACATTTGACATTTATTCATTATACAGGGCATGAAATGAGTACATAACTACTCTGCTCACAAAAACCCTACCGAGTAATCGTAATGTCAACCAACCAACTGCAAGTAATCTTTATCCAAATGTAATAATGACTAGCTGCAAACTCACTTTGCAGTAAGAATGAAAGCTGGTTTGGTAAACAAATCATAAATGATGTCAATAAACACGGGACTACATATGACAAAGATTATAAACAACAGAATTCCGTAAGCTGGATTCAAACGCTCGTTAATTCATCCAAGTGAATAACAAGGATAATATTGCTTATGTGTACGGAATGTCTTAGACCACATAAAAAAGTAGTGAAACTAGCAAATAGAGTGGCTTCAACTTGGAACACAAAAAGCTATCCCAGTTTAAAAATCATCTGTAGTGAAACTTGACCCAAATTACTGAAAGTTCAGAGAAAAATCGTGGTTATCTACTAAATAACTGAAGGTTATTTCGAACATAAGTTCAACAAGTCTCTACAGTTAAATACAAAAATAGAATGGAATTCTAGAATAAAAATATCAATACTGAATTACTGTGGCATTCTGTGGAGCATTTGATTGGTGTAACCTGCCTCTACATATCGTTTAAGGTGATGTCTGGACAAACAGAAACGACGGCCCAAAACATTGCATGATAGATTCACCTAGTTTCAAACCTAACTGGTTCTACTAAAATACTAATTATAATAAACCACATCCATGACTGTTTGACGTACATTACGTACACCCAACTATGAAAATCTACAGTACTTAAAAAGTCAAGTCTACGTTTTCAATATTTATCAACCTGCTGGAAGCATTAAACGTCATAAGAGATTCAACACACTGCTATTCAATCCTAACTTAGATTTTGTGGCTTAGCAGGGCAGTTACCCATAAAAAAGTTGGCACTACTCAACAGCAGTATTCAAGATGTAGACGCAACAACCGGGAATCTTGAAAAGTTAACATGGGCTTACTTCTGATTTCAACCAGAAATGCTATAGCATTTGATGTAACATACTCAAAAACTGAAATCGTGTCGTGTCTAAGTAGTAGGAATTAAAGAAAACAGGATTATACCAGTGCGTTTCCTTAGACTAATATATTAACTACGTGGAGAGAGTAAATTAATGTCACTAATTACATTACAGTTGGAACTAGTAGTCGCTAAGAATCAGCTAAGTCAATTCAACTCCACAGTTGACGCACTTGATCGTCGAACATGAGCATATGGTAAAAAACTAAGCCAAGCTGTATCTGCCTATATGAGCTTTAGTAGGCTGGAAGGGGTTGGAACCCACAATCACCTACTTGAAGTCAGGACATTGACAGGCATGTACGCCAATAAGTTGGGATTGCAGAAAACGAAGCGAACAATGCTTAAGCCGTACAGACTACTTGGACAGAACCCAGAAGTCCCAGTCGACTAACGTTGAAACATAAACACATGCAGATAAGAGCCAATAAAATGAATGAAAAGGCGAAATCAATATCAAACATCGCAAAATGCAGCCAGAAACAAAAATGGATTAAAGGAATAACGATAACGTATATTATGGCTTCCACACAGGCGTTAATGCGTTAGCATCAGACATAAACTTTGAGCCACACCATCTGGAATCATGAACCATCGATTTCGGTTGTTTCACGACCTATAACCACAAAGCATACTTGAACCGTTAACAATTTCGTTGTCATGTTCGGATATGATCTCAAATTCGTTCCAACCTTATCTTAATTCATTTAACACTGCAGGTCACAAGAAAGACAAAGCCATCATGAAACCTAGCACTACTGCTTATTGGTGTAAGTTGCCACATGTCATCACATCAAGCGAGAATGCATTATCATAGAAGATAAAGTTGTAAGGAAGAAAGCAGTCGAAAGTGACAGTCGTGAAAAGAGAGCAAGGAGGAATGAGACAATGATGAAATTTAGTATGATGATCAAGATGCAGCAAATTAGTTGGTAGATCTGCGTCGCTAAGGTCGATTCGGAGCTATATTATCACTAATTACGTTTATCACACGGACCCTAACCGGAAAGCCTACACTTTTCTACGCGGCTTAGATCAACCGTCAAAGACTTCATACATTGATGTCACGCCAGTCTGGCAAACTTACCCTTTTCAGCTTAAATCTACCTCAGCTAGCATTGCGCAAAGCAGTGGACAGTGACTAGACATGTATAACACGTGTCCCAGCTACCTCAGTCGATGAAAGTTCACAACCTTATCAACCAACCTCTGCCTAGAACTCAACACCTAAGTTTCATGCTACTGAAGTAGTGACACCACGTCACGGTCTACGTTACGAAGTCAACGGTAGTCGGACACTGTAAGTGTCCTCATGCCCTCTACTCTTAGTGGCCGTGATCCAGCCACAGGGTAGAAGAGAGTGGAATGCAGTGTAGTACATTCCGATCTACTAGGCAATCGGATATTAAGCTGGCGCAAAAAAATGGTATAGAGAGCAAAAGTCAAGAGAGCTCTTTGCTTTTGTGCTGAGATTTTGTCGGTCACTCACTCACCAGCTAAGTGAAGCAATAAACGTTCTTAATCATTCCACTCCCTATTGTTAGACGTGTAGGTTGTAGTGCAGACTATTAGATAAAGATGACAAAATCAATCAGCCAGTTCACGAATTTTTATCCCGTAAAGTGGTTGCATGCAGTGTCTATATATGGTCACCACCCAACTAGACATTAAAGATTCGAAGACACAAGAAACTCCCAAAAGTGATTAGAACAAGACATAAAACCTCCGAGCTCTAAAGTGCTTCGCCATGGAGATTGTGAACTAAAAATTTTAGCAGACAATTTGGAACGAATTGCAGTAATCCAGTTTTGTGGTTAATTTCCCAATTATCCAGTGATTTAATAGTTATGAACATTGACATTATCAATATTAAGTTCATAACTTCGGGCATCTATGTAGATCTTACTCCATCGAACTACGACAAAACCAATTTGAGTCACGGTTTATTAAACTGATTCATGGAAAAGTATACTCACTGGTTTGACCATTTATCTCCATGAAGCCAGTCCCAAGTTTGAATCCCATTTCACCTACTTTAACCTGGACTAACGAGTACCAATTCCAGTAGAAGTTGAGAAGGCTTTAAGTAACCTGGATAAAGGAAGTGCAATAGGGCAAGATGGGATATTTACCCAAGGCATTTAGGGATGGTAGTCAATGTATACTAGTCAAACTAACTGGCGTTAGCAAGAGTATGGAAATTATATATGATCCCCCACTGGGGCTTGAGACTCGCAAACCCGAGAAGACCTAGTACTGGGTGCATTGACTAGATAACCACCAACCGAAAGGTATTAGGATAGACACTTACCGGCACCTGAAACCGAAATGCTGTCAGCAACATGCACGTCTGTGTAGTATGCAATAGACGACACCTATTGTGAGGGTGGAGCTGTGCCTCAGTGGTTTGTGGAGATGACTAACTATGAGGTCACAGGCTCTAGCTCCGCTCCACCTACAGAGGTTCGGGCACTTGGATAGCATCACTAGCTCTAACGCAATAGGTGTGGCTCACTGACTACTGCACGGACGTGCATAAGGCAGCTGAGTGCGTTCCACTTTTTTCGCTATTGTGAGGGCTAATGGTACCACCTGGCCACCTAAACTTAAGCAGGTGGTGGGGTTTGAACTTGTAACCCACTGGTTAATATTCAACTGCCTAAACCAATGAGATCCACCGACACCCAACATCAGCTGCATTTCTGAACTGATAGTGACATTTGACTTCATCGGTTGAGAGGTTTTATGATAATGTCCCTTACTAAAAGGGATGTCCGGTAAGTAAAACGCCTTTCTGAAGACTGCATTCGAACACCTGCAGACGTGCCAGAATACCTAGCGAGGTCGGCATCTTACCTAACAATAGGAACTGCAGCGGTTGAGCGCACTGACTTCACTTGCTTGGGAAGTCGGGTCAGCCCTGGCCGATGAGGGACCGACGAAATATCTGCACAGATACAAACATTGGCTTCTGCCACCTTACGCCACTCATGGCATCACCGAGATATTGGACTGCCTATCAAAGAGCGAGTGTACTCCATTTAGCGTAGAAATGAGACGGCTTCATGTATTCAGTCACTGTTGTCTTCGTATTATAAGTCATGTCGTGGGACCGCTGCCTCAGTAATAGACGTGTAGTCTTAAGCAGAGGGGGGCTATCAGTTGTTTGTAAGTCAACATCCCGGATGGTTGGGTCATATGCTACCAGTACCTAATCACCGTCTACCAAACGGTAATGCAGTAATGCCTGGTCCTATGTTGATAATGATGATGATGACCAAACGGTCTAATGTTGAGTGAAATAATTTTAGGTCGGAAAAAGGTTAGAGGCAACCTGACTAGAGCATGACACCGGTTCACGACTTTTTACTGTTGGTGTGAGCGGTGCTGATAAAGGAAGACTATCCGGTTAGGACCAATGTGACAACCATAATCGGCGGTTGGGGACCCAAGGCGACATGGAACAGAATTGATGTAGGTGGCCTATGCACTCATACTTCACTCATTATACAGATTTCGTTCACATTTATGCCGTCCTTCTGCGACTATACCGCTTTTGATTACCGTTTTCTTCATTGTCCTTTTTCTCCTTTCATCCTGATGGGCTTATGTGAGGAATGGTAAACCCGAGCGCCACGTATTGTCAGGTCAAATGTTGACAAAGACTCACTACGTAATGATCAAATGTGTCAATATGTAACTCATATCTAGTACATAAACACATCAGGTTATGAGTTTCATCTTGAAAGCTTATTATACTAACTGGTTAAGGAGACAGTTGAGCCTGAATCCCAGACTCGATAAGTGGCGTTTAAGTGCCTAATCCAATCAACGGCAGAATGAATAGCGATGATAAGCATATATTGTTGCTATAGTGAGGAAACCTTAAACCCTAGCTACAATACAAAATCAGTACATCTAGCATCTACTTCATACTAATTTCCTAGGACCAAGTGAACAGCTAACGAACCACATTAACACATACATCAACAAACTATCGTATGAAACCACATTTTGGAACTTTCCTATAATTGCAACGGAACGAATTTAGTTTCCAAAAGCAAACCTCACCAAAGGAGAACTAGGTCACAGGAAAAACGCATGAACCACTGTTTTCCGTTTCATGGAGCTTAAAAAGTGCATATCGCTGGGGTCGGATATGGATAACATAAACATAAAAATAACTTTTCCGTAAGGAATGAAACTTTTCAAACCCCGTTACTGAAAACTTTTTGATAACCGAATGAATGAAGATGCAATCCATCTAACATTGGTTTGAAAATACTCCACTCGTTAAATTTTTTTGACAATCTAGGTTTTTCAGCTTATCCCAATACTTTCCTGCTATTGTGCACTTACACTAAAGAAAAATTACTTAACGCGTTTTTGTTAAGTATACACTGCCAACGAAGGAAAAACTAAAGAACCACCACTGGAATCCTGGCCAGTACTCGATTAACAACCACTAGGCTATCTTAATACTTCAGATAATCATATATTGCACTGCGGTTAAGATTATAAAGAACCAATACACTAAGGTTTTTTATGCAATGACTGCATATCTGCAGCATAATTCAGACCAAAAGCCTTAATGCGCACTTCCAATAAGGCCAGTAGGGAGGCGATGACCAGAAAAATACTCCGAAATAAAAGTATTATGACCACCTGCTTAAGATGATATCATAATGAAACTTTAGTTTTCTATCCCTTAAGTAGTAATGATTGTAAACACTATGGTGGTTCTACGAAACCCTCATATTTTATTCGACAGACGCTAAATCATGGGCCATGAAAAAGATGGATTTTGCTGCCATAAGATCTCAAGATGTAACTCCATAAAAAAAATACTTATCGTATTCACTGTAAGTAGCAAAAAACCTGGAAACAGCAAATACACAAGACAGGATGAATTACACTCAATGATGAGTTTAATACCTCAGCACATTGACAGTTAAAACAGACGTACCCTAAGAACACAAAACAGTCTAGAACAGTCACAAATATAAACAGGTAGAAAACGGAAAGACAATCATAAGTATATCTCCCAAACTCACCTACCTAGAATCCGAAAACATAATCCGGACAACATCCAACAATGGCGAAACGAAAGTAGTTCTACCGGACTTAAATCAGGTGGCTAAAACAAAAGAAAAACACCGGATTTGAACTGGATTGCTGCCAGGCTTTGCATATCGTATGTTTTCATGGGAGCCTATCTCATAATTTTGATAGTAATTTACCCTTTAAGATAGCGATGTAATCTCAGTAAATAAAGACCATCCATGGTATGCGGTTGTCCACCTATCGGTGATATAACAGTTTGTAACAAAAATAAAGCTTAATTTTGATGTGCAACTTGTTTATGACAAGTGTAGTTTATTTTCATCGATATCTATACCATCAACACATCGTTATACTTCTTCGTTTCGGTACGACGATTTTCGGACATTGAAACATTGAACAACATCTTCGAAAGCATATGAGGCAAAAAGGCGATGTTCGGATGGTTTAAGTTGTTGTCGGTGGAATGGGTAAAATCTTCACTTAACTGGCTTCCGAGCGTAGAATCAGTGGATTACTAACTCCTTAAGTTGCTAACTTGAGTAAAAGGACTAAAATGTTCCGAAGCCAAGACGGTCCACTCTCGCTGAAAAATGATAACAGAATGACATGCTGGACTATTCTCTACGTGAAAGTGTCAGTGATACAACACATTTAGCCTTACAGACTGGCTTTCTTAAAAGTCATTCGTCACCAACAAGCAGTAGAACGCAGTGGGATGACTGTTTGACCAATTGTGATTAACGGGAATGTTGGATTGAGTTATTCTAGCCTGAAGTTGTTCTGGGTGTTTAGTGGTGTAAAGTAATTTCCTCTCGAAAGTAGCGGGAAAGCTTGCCTGTTTAAAAAGCAATTACACCTACTAACAGAATAAGCTGGGATAATGTATAGTGGTTATGAGGAAAGTGTTGCAGGTGAAAGCAACATTCCAATGCAGTGTCATCCCAGCTGAGACGTTTCATGATCCTGTTGTTTTGCCAGACCACTTATATCCCGGTAACGATGCATGTTTTCTGTCCGTCCTGAATAAGCACTCATAAAAAGAGTGTTTATAAATAGGCATACCCCGACTATATGGCTTTTCTTGCTCCTCGAAAGCATATCAGGTGCTCATTCAGTGTAATCTATTCTGCAATAGCAGTATGAGTCTAACTATTCAGTGCTGGGGGAAATTTTATGGCTGATGGAATGAATTATGGGGATAAGCAGTAGCGTGGCGTATATTTCATATTTTTATGATATATTTAGTATTTCAAGAGTGAACGTTTGTTTAATTGTACTGACTTCAAGTTCTTCTAGGCTCGGATGACGACAAAACATCCTGCTTTACGTCTTGAGTTGTCTCTTCATATTTACGCTGTCTGGCACCGGTGGATCAGCAGTTTCGGGGTTAAGAGAAAGGTGATAATGTATCGGGGTGCGTACATAAATTTGGAGTAAGATATCGCGGCTCGACGGATTGGTGACCCCAGAGTTATCATACTTTCGGATGTTTTACTGATGGATGTCATTAGTGTTTATAACCACTTGCCGCAGCTACGGTTGCTAACATCTTTACGCGATACTGACGTATATATTGAGAATAATACCACCTACTTTGTGGTGGCGATTTACGCTTTTGTCTGTCGTATTTTTTCTACCAATATTATTCTGAATTCTTGAAGTTGTTACATTTTGCTGTACCGGTGCTGATGTCTTTAAACTTATAACCAGGACTTTTTGGACATAGGGTCCGTAGGTGCTGTTAGTCTTCCTATGCTTTCTTTCAGGTTTACTGCCCCACAACTGGTGTTTGTTCGTTTACAACATTTCTTCATGGTTACTCATATGGCTTGACAAAACACAAAGTTTGGATACACAAGCTCTGTTTTACCGGAAGTTGCTGTAGAAGTGAGGGAGACACTGCTAAAGCCCCACCCAGACACAC